TCGTTTTCCATTGCATTGCATTGAAACTGGTGCTGGATCCGGTTTAGAGAGACCACTGCGAATTAACTGTTGCGCTAAAACTGCTGAAGCAGTTTTTAAGTGAATTTCCGCCAAACGGCGACGTGCCAACAAAGTTTGAGAGAACTTGCGCTGTCGTAGCAGCCTCACTATATCCGGCGTACTTTGAGTACTAGGACAATGCAGACTATCTGTCGGCACATGTCCATCAAGGTTTTTATCACAAACAGCAGCGTGTCGAGCTTTTGACTTGTGTAATACATGTGCACCGCAAAATGCAGGTGGCATCGTCGCCGTAGCGTTTTCATTCTCGTCAAATTCTTCGCATGAGGGGAAGCTTGAAACCTCCGCTGCCCATGCAGATAAAATATGGTCTCTCTTGCCGTCTATACCTCCTTGAGAAGATGCCATGGCACGAATTAGAATTGCAGCTGCGTCTAACGTGGGCTGAGGTGGTTCGTTAGAGAATGCTACTGCGCGGGTAGTAACCATACTATCGCACGAGGGGGAGTCGAGGGAATCCGCTGCCCGTGGTTGTAGCTTGAACAACGCAGTTAATTCGGTTGTGTCACCTAATTTCTTACTCGAGGGGAAGCACTTGGACTTCGCTGCTCGCATAAGAGAGTTGAGGCTGTGGTGAGCTTCTATAGAACTACATAAGAGGGACACTGTCGTGCTCGCTGCCCCTGTAGCCAAAACCGATACCACATCCTTTGAGCACCAACTTTGAGCACTAGAGTGAGGTGTACTGCTGGCAGTACCGGAAGAAATAATTTCAAAGTAATCGGTGTCGTCGACCAGTGAAAGGTCGAAGCTTGCGGCCTCGGCCAGTATACACCTGCATGGAGGTTCGCTGGATTTTTCCTCCCAATTTTTTTGGGGGCAAAAAATTTCGGCAAAACGCCCGGAGAGTAAATTTTTCTGGCGGGTCTAAATGGAAAGCCAGCCGTTTTTTTTTTTTAACACACACACAGCTTTCTGTTTCTCGCCTCGACACCCTTCTTTGGAAAGGAAACGAAGGCAGATCTCTTTTCCGCCTTGTTTAGGAAGGCCCTTTCGGATCTCCAGAGGAATTGAGCGTGAGGGACGCTTCTCGAACTTGCCTGGTCGTTTTGCTGCGGGAGGTTGGCTACGTTGACCGTAGGAAAACGCAGCTTGTCCCCGTGTAGAGTGTAGCTCTTGCCGCATTATAAACTGATGGACTCGCATGAAAGACTCGTGAGCAATACTGAAATGCGACTTGACCCCTGCTGCTTTATCCCAATCTTCATCAGACACATAGACACGAAACAACTCCAAACGGTCATCAATCAAAGCTGCAACTTCTGCTAGAGCTAGCACTGAAGTTGGTGCGTCACTAACACGTAGCTCAGCGAGAAACGTTACTGCGGATTGGAATAGCTCCTGGACGAGAGGCTTGTAACATTGAAGAGCAACGTTGTGAAGAACTTCAACTGCACCAATCAAAGTAGAAAACTCTGTCGGGTCTACAGGTCTTGGAAGTCCATTTTTCCGTGAGAAATTGCTCATGTCATGCTTCAAAAACCCCGCACGTTTTTTGTAACGGGGTTACATGGTGTGGAACACACAGGGGTACGAAGTACCCGGAGAGTTAACAAACGCTCAGTACATAAGTTGGAGAGTTAACAAGGTCTCTCAGTACGTTGGCTGAAAGCCACACGTTATGCATTTGATTAGGTTTAACTATGCTAGATAGTTAAAGAGATACATTTACCCCTAGGCGGCTTGGCCGCAATAATAGTAAATAAAGCACTTCTGGTTTTGAAGCATAAAAGTTAAAGTATTAACTTTGAGCCCTGGTCTTGGGCTGTAAGTGTCCTTTTGGGATAAGGAACTTAGTATTAGTGACTCTTTGAGTCGAACGTCTTCCTCTGACGCTAAAGCTACGGCAGCCCCGCTGCACTTGGTAGCACTTGTAGTCAATCCCGCTCCTGAGTCGGTTGACTATATCCTCTGCGAGGATGGAACACCCCGTGTTCGCGAATTTGCCCCCGGCGCAGCAGGACGCGCTTACTAAGCTTATGTCCTTGCTTGGCCCGGAGGGCGTGGCTC